AGCCCTTCTCACTGCTGGGGGTTTGTTTGAAATAGATGCTTGGTGCCACAAAGAGAAATTAGTACTGAGACAAAGGATCTTTCAATGCAAATTTTACTTCCTGGACTGCAGGAAGGGTACCCTCGCTAGCTATCATGCCACAAGAATACAATGAACAAAGGAAAACACACAAATTTATCCCTTATGCATTTGAGGTCGTCCTTACTGCTGTGTCTGATCTCTGTTGGCTGGAGCCAGACCTCACAATCTAAACTAAAATCCGATTGGCTAACAACTTAAAACTTTACTAAATAGGTAAACGCAATGGAGAGCTGGGACATGCCTGTGAGCACGTCCAGCACAGATGTCTTGGTTAGAATACAAGGACATAGAGTGTACTATGTGCCTGTAAGCATGGCATGTTTAACAGCTACATAGGACAGGGCTTAACAAAGTTATTAGCACAGTTATAATTTATTCTTTAATAAGAAAAGAAACTTTAAAAAGGAACTTTTCTACTTCCCACAGGGTTCTATCATGGAGGCCCACATCTTGCTTCTCTTTGCCTGGCCCACCCCCACCATGGTGGGTTGAATGATGCTCTCTAAAAAGAAATGTCCATATCCTGCTCACCCTCACCCCCCCGCAGAACTTGTGAACGTGACCTTATTTAGAAAAAAGGTATTTGCACATGTCATCAAGTTACAGATCTTAAGATGAGATTGATCATACTGGATTGCCCTGGGCAAACTCAATCTGATAAATGTCTTAATAAGAGACAGAAGAAGACACAGACGCACAGCGTAGGGAGAAGGCCACGTGAAGACCAAAGTGGAGATTGGGGTGATACAATCATAAGGAAGACCATCAGCCACCAGAGGCCAGGAGAGGCCTCTTACCTCCTCAGGCTTTCAGAGGGAGCACAGTCCTGCTGACATCTTGACTTAAGATTTCTGGTCTCCAGAGTGGTGATGGACTAAATATCTCTTATAAGCCACCCAGTTTGGGGCAGTTTATTAAGACAGCCCCAGGAAATTAAGTACCTACTAGCTTTTTAGTCCCAGCTTGGACCCCTGGGAAGCCTCCTCTGGCCTCTCTAGTCTGGGGTATAGCCCCTCCTATGGGCTTCTGACATCTCCATGGCAGGTGAAGAAGGCGTAAGTTTTCCTATTAGAATATATTCATATGTGTTAGAAATACATCTATCTGATTAACTGCTACTTTCCTGGGGCAGAGGTCACGCTGTTCTTGTTAACCATTGCTGCTCTGGTGCATAGAAAAAAGCCCAGCACATGTTAAAAATAGTGACAATCACTCACATTTGTTTTACCTTTACAAGTAGAAGTTGCTATCCTGGGGCCAGGCGTGGTGGCTCACACCTGTAATCCCAGCACTTTGGGAAGCTGAGGTGGGCAGATCATGAGGTCAAGAGTTTGAGACCAGCCTGGTCAACATGGTGAAACCCTGTCTACTAAGAACACAAAAATTAGCCAGGTGTGGTGGTGGGCACATGTAATCCCAGCTACTTGGGAGGCTGAGGCAGGAGAATCGCTTGAATCCGGGGAGCGGAGGTTGCAGTGAGTCGAGATCGCACTGTACTCCAGCCTGGGCGACAGAGCAAGACTCTGTCTCAAAAAAAAAAAAAGCCGCTGTTCTAAGGGCATTAGGCATAGTAACTTATTTATTCCTTGCCTCATTCCTATGTGGAAGGGTTATTTTTAGTTCCATTATATGTATGAGAGTAACTGTGGCTTGGGGAGGGGATGTAACTTGCCTGGGTTCACACTGCTTGCAAACAACAGGACTGGGATTTACACTCAGGTCTTTGGCTCATAGACTCTACTGTCTCAATTAATAAGTGCTCAGTAATGATTTGTTGAGTGGGCGAATGATCTCTTCTTTGGGGTGAAGCCTGGCCTTCCTCACCTGGGTATCTTAGGGCAGTTCCTTGGTCAGAGCTTGCTGCAAGAATCCATTTTGGATACAAGTCTAGCAAGCATGGTGGTCTGGCTTTACAGCTCAGAACTGAGAAATCTGTCCAAGCTGGGGAGAGTTCTAAGAGGCAGTCATTCTGTGACGGCAGCTTGATGGGACATGGCTGGAAGGGGTGATGACTCTGGAAATCAGAGCAAGACTGTGCAACCCCACCCCACCCCCACCCCCACCCCCACCTCTGCAGGCTCCAGGGCAATTGCTAGGTTCATCTCACTTTGGTGACGTGCATTTGTTGGTGAGCCCTGTGTCCAGGCCAAGTTAAATGAATTCTCACCAGCATGCTGTGCATGGGTGTGAGCACAGGAGGAGGCGGGAGGTAAAGAGAGAGGGGAGAGATAGATGGGGCTGTGATACATTTCAGCTTTTAAAAAATCGGAATCAGTTAAAATCAAAATAATACTTGGTGCCTAAAGGAGATAAACTTCAGTTATCTTGAAACTTTCCTTCTGAGCAAAGCCCATTGCTGATAATGCTAAATAAATGAGGTGTTGCCCTATTAATGTTGTCAAGAATAACAAACATTTGCATAGCATTGTTCAAGCTACACGACATTTATTCCTTCCTTCGCTGTATCACACAGGAATGCTTACAGCTGCAAGCGTCTGTGTAGGAACTAGAAATGGCTCAAACTTAGTGGACATTTATTGTTAATTAACTAAAAATTTCATGGTAGGCAGTCATGGGGCTGATTTGGCAGCCCAGTGTATTGTAATATCATTGAGGATCCATGCTCTTTTCCTTCTCTTCTGCCATCCTCAGATGATGGTAGCGTTTCCACTAGTGGTTGCCAGTTCGTTACTTCGTCACCAAGCCTCTCACTCTCCTTAACAATCTTGACAGCAGGAAGGAAGCTTCAAGAGCAAGCGTGCTCTCCTCACACACCTCCTTTCTTTGATCAGGGATGGAAATCTGTCCCAGAACTCCCAGCAGACATTCCCTTATATCCCATTGGCTAGAACTGGGTCACATACCACCCCTGCCCATACCAGTCTCCACAAAGGGACACACAGGGTTGCCATGACTTGTTCAAAGCCGTCAGGCACAATTGTCTTCTGGCCTGAAGCGGGATGCTGCTAGCAAGAATGAAGGCAGGATGGCCATCAGGTTGGTTGCATCCACTCATTCCACAGCATCTTTCCCATGCCCTATTCTAAGTGTAAAAGATATGCAAATGATTAAGATGGAGTTCCAGTGACATCTGTGCTATATTATCTCTGTCTTATGGATAAAGAAACTGGCTCAGATCGCTGGACCGGCTTGCCTGAAGTCCCCTCCAATGAAGGATACCATTCCAAAGCACTTGCTCCTTCCACTATATGAGTTGCCTTTCTGATTGCCTGGAGTAACCCTGTGTGGCATGGCCTGTGTCCTCCCTGGAAGGAGGCTAACAGGACTGTTCCATGTCCTGGCCCTTTGCTGGCAGGTGCTGTTCTGCCCAACCTGAGATTTATGGAGTCCTAGGATGCTCCCACAGGATGCAGATGGAAGATGCCCCCTCTCTAACAAGCAGGCAGGCTCCCTGCAGATGGGCCCCAGATGGTGGCATTATCTGAGCAGTGGGATGGAGCCAGGAGAGGGGTGCTGGGAGAGGTGGGCCAGGCTTGGTCAGCCAAGTGTTCAGTGGACAGCGTGGCTCAGGCTGGAGGGTTGGTGCCTGGTAGGTTCAGAGCTGCTGGCCTGTGACAGGTTTGGCTGAGGTTGGCACTGTTGCCCAGTCCTGGAACTTGTCACTTCCCATGGATCAGTGCCTAGTAGGGAGTGGTGTGGACTCTGAGCTCGATGGAGCCTCTGAGAGATGCTGAGCCCAGAGTCAGGAATATGAGGGCTCCTGGCTGGGTTATCACATCTACAACATAGGTCACCTTTGTGCTGTGACCACACCTGCAGACCTGAGATGAGGCAGGCTCAAGGGGCACTCTCCTGCAAGCCCAGTGTGGCTCTCTCCCATTGGTCCCCTCAAGAAGTAATAGGAGTAGTGGCTAAAAATACGGATTCTGGAGCTGGACTTCCTGTTTCTGCCTCCTAGCCTTGCCAGTGGTTAGCTGTATAACCTCAGGTTGGCTGCCTAACCTCTTTGGATTCAGCCCGTAAAACAAGACTAATAATGATGCCAACCTCACAGGATTGTTTCGAAGCTTAAGAAAGATCAAGTGTGTAAAATGCTTTGAATACTGCAGGCATGTAGCGAGTATCAGCTGAGGTGATTATTACGCCAACGGCTTGACACTGTACAAACCTCACTAGCTTGTGTAACCCAAATGCCAGCTGGGTGCTTCCATGTTCTTGCATATGACTTGGAGGAACTTTCCAGTCTCTATGACTTGGAGAAGTCCCACTCCCTCCCTGGGATGGCTATGACATCTTGGAGACTTGAGGTCTCTGGTTCAAATCCCTTTGCTCTGAGTCCACCTGGGTTGAAGAATTCAACTGCTACTTCATTGGTTTTTACAACAAATCTGGTCTCACCAAGCATTCAGGATGTGCCCACACTTGAGTGGTGGCGGTGGGGGTGTCGTTAGGGAGGGTCCGTCATCACAGGTGCTCTCTCACTGCTCCTTTCCCCATCCTCTCCCCTCCTGCTTTGCAACTCTTCCCCAACTGTCCCCCTCCTCCCTGGGCTAAGCAGAGAAGCATCTCTCTGAGGCACACCAGTAGCTGACATTTATCACGCACTTGTTGTGGGTCAGAAGCTGTTCTAGGTACTTTATAGAATCACCGCATTTAAACCTCATGAGACATCTGCAAGAACGAGCTTTTGCTATTCCCATTTTGGGGACCAGGGAAGAGGCCACACAGCCAGGAAGCAGCAGATACAGGAGACAGTCCAGACAGTATGGTCTCAGAGCCTGGAATTCTACCGCTGCACTCCTTGGCTTCTTCTGAAACCTTAGCTCCAGGCGCTGAGGCTAAACTTACATCTACATGAGTTTATGGAAAATCTTTTCCCAACAAACATGTGATCTCTGCTTAAGGGCAATTTCTGCTCTAATTTGTTCCTTTTTTTGTTTGTCTCTCTTTGCACACAGGGAGACAGAGAAGTGTGGAGGAAAGAAGGTGGACTTTGATGCTGCTCAGGTTGGAATTTCAGGCCTGGCTCTTCACCTCTCTGAGGCTCAGTTTTCCCTCCAGTAAAATGGGTTAGTAACACTACACAAGGCATTGTGAGGGCCAAAAGAGATATGACAGGCGAGCCTAGGTCAGTGGGTGGTCAGTAATGGGTGGCCGTTATCATTAGTGTCTCTGCCCCCATCTCCCAGCATGAGGCCTAGCACAAGTAACATTGGAAAGACCTTTTTAGTTTGCATTTCTAAGTCTTCTGGGCTGGCTTCTGGTGCAGTTTCTCTGTGGTCCACCCTGTTCATCTTCCTGCCTCTAGGTGGGTTCTCTCCCGCCGTAGAGCCCCCCTTCCCTTCTGTACCATCTCTAGGGGTAGAGGAGCCTCTTTTCCCAGTATCTCAAAACCCCCCTAAAGCTGGTCCGAGAGCAGAATCCATCCAGACTGGTGGGGGACAAGGCTGGGTACATGGCTGTGCCTCCCACTCGCCTGCCCTGCTGGCAGTGACAGCCTCACCCAGCCCAGAGAGCACCGGGCTTGAGAAAGGCCAAGAGAGGGCCAGGCTGCACCCTTCTTAGGGTGCAGTGGGTTGGGGCTCCACTTGGCTGGGACCTTTGTGCTGGGATGTGGAAAAGAAGTTTCTCCTGGAGCGGGGTGTGAGTAGCAGGAGGCCTCCTGTGCCCACAGCCTGCCAGTTCCCACTGCAATCCCTGAAGCTGCAGAGCCAGATGAGGTTAAGGGTCAGGTGCCCAGGCTCCAGGGCCAGCCCGGTGCAGCTGGGCTGAGGGATCCTGGACAGGTCCCTTCCCTATCTGGGCCTCCTTATCCTCTGCACAAAAGGGCTTGGGGACAGCTCCGTCATGATGGGTGCTTGGATTCGGATTGGTGTGAAACTGTTTCACTGGGCGTACACTGCATCCTGCGTGGACACACCCTCTAAAGGGAGGGGGGAACCTGGGTTGACCTGGCCTCTGTGACCTCTTCGGCGGAGAAGAGATCCCTCATTCTGGGCTACAGACAGGTTTGAGCCTCCCCAGAGTGGGGCCACTGACCCACTCAGTCCCTGAAGAACCTGTGTGACTATGTTGATGCGTGTGTCTGTGTTTGCATGTGTTGATGTATATGAGTGTCTGTGCTGTATGCATGTGTATGTGTGTCTAAGTTTGCATGTGTATCTCTAACAAGATCTCTGTGTGTGTGTCTGTGTTTGCATGCATGTTTGTATGTGTGCCTCTGTGTGTATATGTATATCTTTCTCTGTGTGTGTGCATATGTGTGTATATGTATATCTTTCTCTGGTGCATGTGTGTGTGTATGTATATCTTTCTCTGGGTGTGATTGTGTGTGTATATGTATATCTTTCTCTGTGGGCATGCATGTGTATATGTATATCTCTGTGTGTGCATATGTGTGTATATGTATATCTCTGTGTGGGTGCATGTGTGTGTATATGTATATCTTTTTCTCTCTGTGTATGAATGTATATATGTATATCTGTGTGTGTGCATGTGTGTATATCTGTGTGTGCATGTGTGTATATGTATATATATCTCTGTGTGCATACATGTATATCTCTGTGTGTGTGTGTATCTCTCTGTGCATGTGTGTGTATATGTATATCTTTTTCACTCCGTGTGTAATGCATGTGTATATGTATAGCTGTGTGTGTGCATGTGTGTATATGTATATATATCTCTGTGTGTGTGTTCATGTGTGTATATGTATATATCTGTGTGTTCATGCATGTGTATATGTATATGTATCTCTATGTGTGTGCATGTGTGTGTATATGTATATCTCTGTGTGTGCATGCATGTGTATATGTATATATATCTCTGTGTGTGTGTGCGTGTGCATGGGTGTGTATTTGTGCTACTCGTGTGCTAAACTCTAAGTGTTCTTCTTGCTCCCCCACCTCCCTGGAAACCCAGCCCCTCTTCTGGTGCACTGCAGGTCATGTCTTCCCTGTCTTCTCTGCACAGAGTATAAAAGCCAGGGTTTTTGTGTCTCAGTCACTTCTAATGGCAGGAAGTGCAGATGAGTCGCCTTCAGGGTTGCCGCCTTCTTCTGTTCCAGCCTTTCCCTTTCTCTCTGTCTCTCCCTCACCTGTCTTATCCTCTCCACTTCCCCTTCACGGGGCCTCTGGCTCTCTCTCTGGCCCTTCTTTCCCAGCCTCTGCCTCTGCCTTCCTCCTTCTGTCTCTCCGCTCTTCGTCTCTGCCTTCCTTGCACTGCATCTCTCACTGTCTCTGTCTCCTCCATCTCCAGCACCAGCCAACAGCTGATCCTCTGGGAGGCATGAAGACAGAGTTGGCAGCCGAGGAGCTGTGAGGGTGCCTAGCCAGGCACTGAGTGGAGCTGCTCCGCATTCAGGTTGGGCAATGGCGGCTTCTGGGACGGCAGAGGAGCCCCTCAGGGGGCAGGAAGAGGAAGAGGAGGCAGAGCTGCCGGGAAGAGCTGTGGGGTCAGGGTCAGTTACCCCCAGGAGGGGACCAAGGTCTTCAGGGAGGTGGAGACGGGGTGGATGGGGGATGAGGTTCTCAGGCTGGCACGTGTATGTGTTTATGAAGCCTGGAAGCTCCCAGACAGGAGAAGCCTGCTCTTCTGAGTCTTGTCCCTGACTCCCCCAATCCAGCATGTGCCTGGGCACTAACACACAAAACCCTAGCCGATGCTATGGGAGCCCATTTTCTGGGAGCTCTGGTGGCAGCAAACTGGGAGAGAGCTGCTAGTCTGGGAGCAGAAGGTACCCAGCATGCATCACTGTACCGTCAAGTATGCTGAGGGCTCTGGAGGGGAACCGGGAGGCAGGGAGCAGGAGTGAGATCTGTGGGCTCCTTGCTCTCCAGGGCTCTGACCATGCTGCACAGCAATGACAGTGGCCTGAAGGACAGTGACTCAGAGTCACCTTGGTTCTTTAGAGAGCTAACAGCTCACAGAAGCAGGCTGTTCTGTTTTCAGAAAGCAGGTCTCCTAGAAAGAACACACAAACAAAGTGACAAACTCCTATTCATCCTTCAAAGCCCAGCTCAGATGTTACCTTGTCACAGGAAGCCCTTCATGACTCTCCACCTACAGGGACTGTCTTCTGCAGCACATCTCTACCTTGCACCTGTTTATGTCATGACACCGAGCCCACCACTTGGTAATATTTATATATCTGTGTGTCTTCCTCATGAGACTAGGAGCTCCTTGAGAGTGGGGCAAATATCTGATTTATTTCTCTAATGTCTAACATGAGGTGAACCTGGAGTGGGTTTCTGAGTCAGACACACAGATCCTCAGCTGATGGACTGGGCTAGAGAAAGAGGATTGGGCAGGAAAAGATGCTTCAGGTCCAGGGACCTATTTTGAATGTCCAGGGAGGGGCAGGGTGGTGGGGTAAGCGTAGCTGCCCCTCCTGAGAATCATGACACCAAATCTTAATGGGTCAGCTGGTGAGCACTATGGACTGAGGCCCCACTCTTGCTGCTTTCCCTGAGACCCTGGGGCAGAGCACAATATGGAGGTGAGGGGAGGTGGTGGAAACTCCACTCTACCTGTTTTTTGAGATGGAATTTCGCTCTTGTTGCCCAGGCTGCAGTGCAATAGTATGATCTCGGCTCACTGCAACTTCTGCCTCCTGGGTTCAACCGATTCTCCTGCCTCAGCCTCCTGAGTAGCTGGGATTACATGGATGCGCCACCATGCCTGGCTAATTTTTTGTATTTTTAGTAGAGACAGGGTTTCTCCATGTTGGTCAGGCTAGTCTCAAACTCCTGACCTCAGGTGATCTGCCCACCTCAGCCTCCCAATGTGCTGGGATTACAGGTATGAGCCACTGCACCTGGCCAGAAACTCCACTCTGAAGGAGAGACGTGGCCCTGACCCAGAGACCTTCAGTGTGAGGAGGATGAGCATGGCTCTGTCCCTCGAATGGAGGGAGGATGTGCCTGTAGAGGGGCTGTCTCCTCACCGTACAGGCTGTTCTATCACAATCCAGGTAACGTCTGTCTGTCTGTCTGTCCTCTCTCTCATTCAGTTTTACAATTCCTCCATTTTAGCAATTCCTCCACCCCCCATCCTGTGTCTAATGAACCTGACATTCAGAGAAAATGTCTTTCGTAAAGGTCATGAGAGGGAGGTGGCATTCTTGCTGACAGCACCTGTCCTTCCTGCGCCAGCCTCCCTCCTTCAAGACAAAGTGCCAGGACTACATCCTGCAGAACCCACATCTGTGCCACCGGTCACCACCTCTACGCCTCCCGGTCTTCATAAACCCTCTCACCTAGAAAGACACAATGCAGGTTATTCATTCTCTCTGCTGGCCGGGGAAGATGCAAGGATGACTCAGATCTGGCCCTACCTGGCAGGGTGTAGGGTATGCGTATCCTGGAGCTAAGTCCTGGCTCCAGGGTGTATCTGTACGGGGAGGTAAGAGATAAGGCCAGCAACAGAGGCAGAACCTAGGTGATGAAAATCACGCATTCCAGCCTCAGAAGCTTGGCCTTGATCCTGAGGACACGGGTGAGTCGTGAAAGGGTGTGAGCTGGGAGATGCTGTTCACATTTGTGTTTTGGGAAGATCACTCTGGCTGCAGGATGAAGGATGGATGCAGATGGAGGCAAGAGATGACAGTGGCCTGGTCTAAGGCAGTGGATGGATTGGAGAGAGTTTCTTGGCTAAGGGAGAGGAAGTGGTGGAAGATGGAGTGCAGTTTTAGCCCTGGTGGCTAAGCGGGAGGTGATGCTGTTTATTGAGTTGGGATGAGCAGGTTGGAAAAAAGAAAAAAGATGACAAGTTAGTTTTTTTTTTTTGGACCTCACCATTTAAAATAGAGAGGTGGCAAGGATAAGTAATGAATTTTTTTTTTTTTTTTTTGAGACAGAGTTTCACTCTTGTTGCCCAGGCGGGAGTGCGATGGCGCAATCTCAGCTCACCGCAAACTCCGCCTCCTGGGTTCAAGCGATTCTCCTGCTTCAGCCTCCCGAGTAGCTCGGATTACAGGCACGCGCCACCACACCTGGCTAATTTTGTATTTTTAATAGAGAGGAGGTTTCTCCATGTTGGTCAGGCTGCTCTTGGAACTCCCATCCTCAGGTGATCTGCCTGCCTCGGCCTCCCAAAGTGCTGGGATTACAGGCCTGAGCCACTGCATCTGGCTGATGAGTTGGTTTTGAATATGTTGAGTTTGCTTGGGAGATGATGTCCGGTGGGCAGTTGGAAGAAGGATCTGGAGTTCGGGATAGATGGACGTCTGTGCAGGGAAGGTGCACTTGGAAGGACCGGTGCTGCAGTTGGTGACTGAAGCCGTGGTGCGGACGTGATTTCAGAGGGATGGTATGAGACCGAGAAGCGGGGAGGGCCCAGGACAGCGCTGTCAGGGATGCCGTATTGAGAGGCAGGGCATGAAGAGGAGGCCATGCTGGAGTCTGGAAGGGAGCAGTCAGAGGAGAGGACTTCAAGGGGAGAGTGGCCACCAGGACCGCCTACTGGTCAACCCTCAGAGGAAGCATTTGCTGTTCTTGTTTCACAGGTGTAACAGCAAAATAACTTGTGGTAGAGCTGGGAGTCAGATCTGGCTCTAGCAGATTCCAAAGGCCAGACTCTTGGCTATGCTTACACTTCAACATACAGAGGCTGGTCACCCACAGGACATCCATGTTCAGTCCTCAATCCAGGGGCGCCCCTGGGGAGGGAGGGCTTGAGGAGGCCTGTCTCACTAGGCATGAGATCTGTGTCAGTTACGCTGCTCTTAACCAGGTGCCTGGGTAGGTCCCAGCCATTCTCCTCTCAACCTTTGTCTCAAGTTAACTCCATATGACTTGTCTTCTGCCTCAGATTCCCTGCTTAGCTCTCACGATTCCCAAAGAGACTGGAGTCTACCCTGAATACCAATTTAATAGTTGCTGATATTTCCATGGCACACCCTGCATTCTAGCCTCTCTCGATACATAGTCTCCCAGCAACCCTTGAGACAGATGGCATTATCTGTTTTATAGATGGGGAAACTGAGGCATTGAGCACTTAAGTACTTTGCCCAAGCTCACACAGCTGGCAGATGTCAGAGCTGGGATTCAGACCTAGGCAGCTTGTGCTCTTCACCTCTCTAAGCCCCTCCTCTTGGCTCATGGCCATCTCTTCTTCAGATCCGATTTCCTTCTGTGAATCTACTGATTACTCAACAACAGAAGGCTGGGCGGTGCCTGCCACTCGTGGATGATGGGAATGATGGTGGTGATGATGGGGACACTTAGGGTATCACCCTGCCTGTTGCCTCAGAGGATCACGCCTCTCTCTGGTTCCCCCTCTGGTGCAGCTGCAGCCTTTGATGTTGGGGATGGATTCGCCTGGAGCCATCAGCACTTGGAGCCTTGCATTTCAAGGATGTTAAAGGGGGTGGTTTCAACAACTTACTGTCAGACAGACATGGTTCGAGTCTATGGGAACTTGGACACATGACTTAAATCTGTCCATGCCTCTGGTTCCTCTTCAGTAAAATGGCCACAACAAGAGCAGTGCCCCCCCCCCCACACCCAGCACACAGGATCGGGAAGAAGGATGTGATTATAAATGGCAAAGCTTTGTGCATTCATACACTTAACCCAAGCCCTGCTCCCAGGCCCTACAGAGCAGTTGGGAGTGCGTGTGGTTATTCCATTAGGAAGACCAGAATTTGCATCTTGGCTTTTGTTACTCCCTCACTGCCTCCCTCCGCCTCAGTTACTTAATTTATGAAGTGGGGGTAATAACAGGATCTACCTCATGGTATACAGAAGCAACTGCTTTGTTCAAACCACTGCTGTGTGCAGACCCTTTGTCTTTTGGGAAAGAGGCGTAATTTTTCTCCAGGTTGGGTTGTCCTTTGTTTAGCAACATGCCTTGATGGCTGCCTTTCGAGGGAAAAATGCCTCCCCTCCTCCAAGGGCATGGGCTCAGCAGGCCGTGGCAAGGCAGAGCAGCCCTGCCCGCTCCACTGGAGCGGGTGCTGCTGCTGCCCTTGTGCCCCAGCCCTCCAAGCTCAGCCTCTGCGGGGTTCCGAAGCCCTCCAAATGAGGGCTTTCGCAGGGCCTGCCCAAGAGGCAGGTTGGACCTGCCAGGGAGTCACTGCCGCTGGGAGCAGCCTTCAGCCAATGGTGGATGGAAGTTGGAGGCTAAACACAGCTTCTTTGACCCTTGGGTGGGCTGACTCTGAGATGTGTTCCACACCGTCTCACAGAGGTTCCAGTGAAATGGAGCCCCTGTTGCCCACAGTGATGGCTCATCAGTACTCTGTATTGGCTCACTTCCCCTTCCCCTTCCCATACCCCTTCCTTTTCTCCCTTTCTCTCCCCTCCCCTTTCTTCCACTTCCCTTCTTCTCCCCCTCTCCTTCCTTTTCTGTCTCCCTTCCCCTCACCTCTCCCTTCCCCTCTCTTCCCCTCCCTTCCCCTCCACTCTCTTCCCCTCCTTTATTCTCCCCTCTCTTCCCCCCCTTCCTCTCCCCTCTTCCCCTCTCTTCCCCTCCCCTTCCCTCTTCCCTCTCTTCCGCCCTCCTTCCCCTCCCCTACCATTTTCTTCCTTTCCCTTTCCCTTTTTCTTCCCTCCCTCCCCCTCTTCTCCCCTCTTTTTCTCTTCCCTTCCCTCCCTTTTCCTTCTGTCTTCCCTGTTCCCCTACCCATGCTTTCTGGGAACGCCTCCAAAAAAATGACTTGCACTCACATCCTTACCTCAGGTCTCCTTCTTGGTGAATTCAGCTGAAGACATCCAAGATGATGGGTGTCTCCCCAAGATATAGGAGAAGAGATGTAAGAAGGGCTTTGAGAGACCAGGAGTCTGGGCAACGTAGTGGGAACTGATAGGCTTGAATATGAGACATGGCCAATGAACCTTACCAGGAATGGCTGAGGTTCAAGAGCGTGGGTTTGATTTTCAGTCATGTGCTGGGCTGTCTGACCACTCTCATTGTCCTCAAACCTCCAGTGAAACTCACTCATATGGGACGGCGTTGCACTCCAGGGAGCTTTGGGGAATCGAAGGAGAGGCTGCAGAGTTCTTTGGGTTAGCTCAGGGGAGAGAGAAGGTTCTGCTGACAGGAGGCGAGACCCCAGTGAGGCAGAGACTCAGCCAAAGGAGAAACTGCATGGGAATGATATTGAGGAGAAACATAAGTGTCTTCAGCGCTTGTCGGGGCTGCAGGATTTCCTACCACTATGGGATGCGTGTGGGGACCGTTTTGCTCACATATTATGTGAAGGGTGAACCTTAAGACCGGACCCTGTAGGGACATCCTGTGCCTGGAAACTTCAATTTATGTGTGGGAGACACCTAGCACAGTGCTTCGCTCACCCTCCTGGCTCAAGAGATGGGCGAGAAAGCCCCTTCTGAGAAAGGAAGTTTTCTGTGCAAAGCCAGGCACTCACAAGAGGATGGAAGCGTAGCCTCAGAGAGTTGAATTTGAAGCCCTTGAGCTAATCTGCCAGGCCTCTGGGA